AACTGGACCCCTGGATTAGAGGGTTAAGAGAGAAAGCCAATAAGGAGACCTGAAAAAAGGGGAGGGAAGGACCAGAAAAGGAACATCATTTGTTGGCATTTTTGCCATCTTTCCCAATTTAGTGGAAAGCAGTGGCTGCCACGGACCCATCTATAGGCACGGGGGTCTATACCACAGGCAACAAATGATCATACCACGACCAGGATGGCCTGTAGGCCAGGTATCTTACTCTGCAGACTGATGGAGAGGATGGCATGAATTACACTTAACACCTGTTGGCTACCAGAACCCTGGGAAGCAGCTGGGGCAGAAACTCTGGGGAAAGAATGGTAGACATTCTTGCTTAACATGGCGATACCAGATGCTGCAAGATTTGTATTAAAATGTTCTTTTACCACAAGGGCCTGGGAGCACACTGGGGCTTGAGGAACACTAGACTGAAACTGCCAGCGGGATGGAGAGAAGCCTTGGCTTGTGAAAGAGCTATTGTTTCCACCAGAGGCAAGTTGAAGTCTTTGGCCAGAAGTTCTTCTGAGGGCTTGAACTTGATGTCAGTAAAGCACAGGGTACTACATAGGGTTGACATCCAAGAGTAGAGGAGATTTTATAGCACCTTCCTCTTGCCTCTAAGGGATTGTTGAGCTGAAGGATGCCAGTAACCAGGTACTTAAACCCATCAGGATTCAATATTAGTGCCTCATTCCCTGATTCCTACTCTGTTCAAGTATCTGCATGGATCCACATTTGAAATTAAACTAGACCTCCAAGTTGTATCAATTTCACCTGTATGACTTGTTGATTGATATCTCCCCTAAAGTGGCTGGAGCTCATGGCTTTCCCAGAGACCATCATACTTCTGAGCCAAGACAGTTGTAATTTTCAGATTTACTTCTGCTGGACCAAAGTAGATATTCTTAAAGAAAAATGGCACTAGAGAAGATTGAACTTAATTCAACTGTTAGGAACAACTAACCATGTTTAATATATATTTAATGAGTTTATAATAATGATGCATTCACTACACTATTTGGATATGGCTTTTAGTATGAAGGATATTAACTAGAAGGTTGTAGATCTGTCTATAAACAAACAAGTTTGATTTGCATGTTGAAACAATTGCTATGTTTTGTTTCATTGAACTGACAAATATTTTAATTTAACTGGATGAACAAGTTATTTTTGTTCTGTGGGCATGTTTGAGTGCATTAAGCAATGCTGGCCCAAATAAGTGGGCAGTATTATTGCTAATCTCATGGAGTTCACATTATTTTGTTTTAGCCAGTGTTGTCCATATTTAGACCTTTTAAAGAGTACAGAACCTGTCACTATAAAGTCCTTTCATGTGCTAAATTTCAGTTTTAAAAAAGCAACTGCTTTTTAATAATTTGTATGCCCAATCTAACATAGTTAACTTTTTACAAGGGGCATCTTATGATTTTGTGTCTCTTTCCCACCTCCTGGCATTTGAATAACAAGTACGTCTTTACTTTCTTCCAAAGCTACCTCAAATAATCAATTTGAGCTGTAGAAAATACTGTAAAGTTTCATCTCAAGAAAATTTTTGGCAAGTATTTTGAGTGAAAACAGAGTTCTAATAGAAACCATTATGCATGCGTCTGCTGCTGAGAGCAGACCTCATGTTTTCACAGTCACCCCACGTTACTGCAGCAGGAGGGCTGTCCTGGATTCCTTGTGTCTCCAGACTACTTTATTTCCTTTCTTCTCACCATAGGAGAATGTTTCCTTTTCTCCTATGTCTCAGGGCCCATGAGACACTATGAGTCCTTGTGGCTTTATTTCTTGCAATTTATCTTACTGCTTTATTGTGTTTAAATTCTCATATTTTATTCTTTCTGCCTCTGTGTATAGACAAGACTAGATTCACTATTAAAAGCTGAGGGAAATATAGTTAATTACCATTTTTGAATATCTATTATGAGCCAATCACTATAGGTGCTTCATATACTTTATTCCTAATAAACCTCCTCTACGTACATGATGTTAATATCCACATTTTAAAGTTGCAGAAACTGAGGCTCAGAGACTAAGGAAGATGAAGGTCATGCTGCCTGTATGGAGCAAAGCTGATGGGAGACCTCAGGACTGTCATCTTCCAAAGTCTTCACTCTCTTTATTATGCTATGGGCTGTCTACCTGCTCTCGCTTAGTATGGGTTACCTTCCCAGGCATAGGACGCTGGTGAACATGGGAGTTTTAACTTTATCTCAGAAAGTTTTCTTCTTTGATTTTGCTACCTTTTCTTTTGCCAGCCTGTTTCAAGACTAGAGTTCTAACTGGGAACCCATGAGACTGTATATTTCTGTCTGACTTCAAAGAACTCTGCTTTCTGCAGCCTGCTGTATTTTCCTATCAGCATAATAGGTCAGTCATTGCCTGGAGGCTGTGACAGAGTTTTTCATCTTCAGTGGCTGAGATTCTTGGAGTTTTGAGATATACCTCAAATACACATTGGCTGCTCTTTTCTAAGTTGTTCTTCCTGAGGCAGTATCAGAATACAGTTGGAAGAAACAAAAATCTAAGTATTTGAAGCAGAAAAAGATTCAAAACAAGGGAAGAGTAGCCTCTAGGTAGGTCCCTCCAGGTATAACCCTCAGAACAACATTGAGGATGTGGCCGATCAAAGCCACTCCCTCTGCCACAGTGAAGGGTAGGAACCACAAGGCCACTACAGCACTCCTGGTAACTTCTGGCATTCCTAGGGCAGTGACTGGGCACAAGGAGCACTATTTCAGAGAGACCCAGCACCTTGCTCTGGTTGCCCACAGAAAATAGCAATGAAGAAGATCATTGGCTTTCATCTATCTTCTGGATCTTACATGGGTGCAACCTGTGTGGCATCTAGAATCCTAGCTGTAAGGATTTGAAATATAACTTTTTTAGTGTCTGCTACACATAAACACACTTTAAAAGCAGAGAGAATGGAGGACCTGTAAACCAATTCTCCTGATTCAACAGACGGTTATTTGGTAAACTTTGAATTTTTGCAAATAGTTCTAATAACGCAAATAATAACAATAAAACACACACCTGTATGACTGGTGTCTTGCCCTACTGAAGGGGTACTGATATTTACGATTTATTGATTATAGTATTTGAAAAAGGATTTTTCCTTTCTCAAACTCAGATGACCTCTTAACTGGAAGGAGTCTGTCTTAAACACTCTCACTCCATGAAGAGAGACTCAAAGTATAGAATTTAAGCTTTACCATCTTTATAGTATAGAGAAACTGAGATATTAGAAGGCTATCTTGTTGGAAAATGCTAGATTTGTGTTACATTTCAGATTAAACCATCAGTATTCCAAGGAATCTAAAACCAATTCAATGCAAGCTAATCAAATATAGAGAAGCCAAAGCAATAGTGGGATTACAAAGCAACAATAAAAGGCTGATGTTTAATATTTATCTAAGATCAAAAAAGGTTCTAAAGGTTTCAGAAATAGTAACATCAATGACCTAATTAAAATCAACAACATGAAAATTAACATAGAAACTTTTCATGTCTTTAAATGAAGCTTGAAACTAAGTATCCCTTAATCAGTATGCCAAACAAGTTATTATTGGAATAATAATGAGACACTCTGATAATTCTTCTTGGGATTACTTTTAATTAGGCTCTAAACAAGTTATCTCAAATGATTTTATTAAAAAATAAACAGGTATAAAACAGCACAAGAGATAAAGCATTAATCTTTGAAGGAGTTAGCTTTCTAAATATAATACCAACTTTTATAATCTGTATTAAAATTTTATTTTGGTTCCTTGTTTACTGTTTCTTGGGGAAACGTTTCTAAGACTCTTCTCCATTTTACAAAAGTACTTTTAAAAGGGTTATTTTAATTTCTTCTTGAATACAAATGTTTTAATTTTATTTCCCACTAGGCTAGTCAATTCAAAAATTTGAATCCTGGAAATTTGATTTTTAAATATATAATGTATATAAATACAGTTGCTAAGTTTGTTATAGGTTCATTTAATTTCACCAAAAACTCAAGGGATTTGTGGTGAAATTCCATTTAGTAAATGAATCATGCAGTACATATCTCCATTGGATGGCACTGTGTCTGAAGTCAAAATAGAACATGCATTCTAGACTAAAAAAAAAAAAGCAAGAATTTTACACTTCAGGTTTGAGTATTTTATTGTATGTAAATTTTATTGCAATTTGTAAAATTCCAGAGAAGAAATTATGTAAGAACTGTATCTATTAAAGACTTATATTAAATTTCTACCAAAAAAATTTAAAAATAGAATGTCATTACTATCAAAAGTATAAGAATTGGAGGAAATAACACATTTCTTAGGTTATGTTCCCTAGAAGCAAAACCTGACACAAGGATTCAGGTGCAGGTTTATTGAGGGAGTGTTCTTTAGGAAAAAAAAAATCTGTAAGAGGAAGTATAGCAGGAGAAGAAAAAGGAACAAGAGTGGAGAGGGCAGTACCCTGTTTTGTGAGAACAGTTCCTGGAGAAGGGGGGAAATGTATGCTGGTTCATAGTGGGGGCAGGGTTTGGGGACCACACACTATTGGGATAGAGAAGAAGAAACCTCAATTGGCGTAATAAACAACAATCATAACAGTTGCTTCCCTCTGGTCCAATCTAAGGAGAACTAAGCTGTCAGCAATGGCCACAGCGAGGGTAAGCCTGGATGCTTAGTTTTCAGCCATGGGGTCGTTAAAACGAGATGTGGCTGGGGGACTAGGGGTAGGTCTCAAAGAGCAGTCAATCCCTATGTTGACCTATGAGTCATGGTAAGAACAGGTTTAAAAGATGAGCTGGGGTGATCAGATTTCTTCATTTGGTTATTGGAAGTAGGCAGTATTGGGAGAAAAGGCAGACAGGACAGAGTGAGGAAGCCGTTTGCTGGACAAATAGAGAGTGGAAGACTAAGCAGAAACATGGGTGGATGAATTACACTGGTAGAGCTCCAGGCCAAACAACTATGAAGTCATGATGCTGAAATGTTTTTTTTCTTCAGATTAGAAGGAAGATTTCAAAGAGCATGCTCAGGAAACACTCCACTGGATTAGTGTTTGATTGGATTTTAGTGTTTATTGGATTGCTCTGCAGGAGGGTAAGTACTATTATTTACATGACCTTGTTTTATCAAACACTGAAATGCATCTGACATGCATGCCGGTGGGGTGGTTCTGTGTTAAGAGGGACCAGAGAGTGCTGGAGGCCAGGATGTTTCCAGAAAGAGAATGGTAAAGAAGGTGATTCTTCTGCTTTTGCATTTATGTCTTTCAAAGTTATAATTAGGGAAATGTACGATATAAGCTATTTATACAGTGATAGTGATTTTAAAAATTTTTTATATGCAGAAGTGTGATTCAACTGTGGGATGAGGGAACAGTTAACATCTGCATTATACAATATTATTTGGTAAATGCCCTGAGAGAGGGATAGAGGTATGCAAAGAATTCCACATGAAGTTACAGGAAGGGCACATGGCAATCAGTGATGGATTTCTGGAGAAGCTGAAACCAGAGAGAGTCTCTAAAAATGGGCAGGGTTTGGGTGAAGAAGAAAGCTCAGGTCATTGTTATGCACAATAGTGAAAAATGTTGGATTGTGTAAAAGGGTCTTGCTAGCTTTGAGTCAATGATTAAGATCTTGGGAATACTAATCTGCCTTAGCAGGGGAGAAGAGAGAGGCTTTTGTGCCTGAGGCTACGTTTTTGTGAAGGAAGTCATTTCTCGTAGGCTATAGGGTTTCTGAAACAGTGATAAGGTAGGCAGGACCAGACTCAGTTATCACAGCCCATCCCTTTTTACTAGTGAGAATATTGTATAAGAGGTATTAAATATACAATAATGTACAATAAAATGTAATGTACAATAAAATGAAAAAACAACAAAAAAAGATGGAGTGGGGTAGATTGAGAACAAGTTCATAGTATAATGAGCCCCCCTTTTATGTGGTGGTGGTATTTGTGTGTTAGCATGTTTGTGAGTGTCTAATTCTGTGATCAGAGAACATTTAAGATCAAGTCAGCAGAAACATCTCAGTGATCTACCTAGGTATAAAATTTTTAGGCTCCTCTTGCTTTTACTTGAAAGCCCTGTGGAAAGCTTCTACAGATCTTTCCTCCACTCTAGTTTCTGAAGAATATTTAGGAGATAATTTCACTGCTTTTGGTGCTAACAGTCCTAATCATAGGTAGAGTTTAATTTTAAATGGAACAGTTTTCCTCTTCCCACTGAGTACTGTCAAAAGTAAAATACAACCACTACAAGAAAAAGTATTAATCAGATCAGTTCAAGGTCAGAACTTCAACGGAATGCTCTAGAAATCAAAACAATGTGCCCCTAATGTGATAATATGTACTTATAAACAGAGCTTTCTGGTTGATGCCATCAACCACTTTGCAAAATCTTGCCAGAAATTTTATTGCCATAAAAATTGGAGAGCTGATTAGTGGGTTACTTAAAACTGTAATCTTAGCTTTTTGTGGATTTATTTAAATCTAATTTAAAGAGTTTCTTAATATTTATTTTAACAAAAGTTTACTTAGAAATTTTAGATTAGAGAATAGTTTCGAATGAGTACCACTGAAACTAAAAGTAGTCGGATATGTGGCATTTCTCCAAGGTAGTCGTATTTCCCTCAAGGCCAATTTGTCATTGATGAAGCATCCGTCCAAAACCATTCATCTGTGTTTTGAGAACCTAGGATCAATCAAACACTCTGTTTGGATAGTCAACTATTGTTTTCTAAGTAAAGATAGATGATGATAGGTGAATATAATATTTGAAGTTTAACTTTAATGTCTATTTATTTTTCTGAAATTGGGAAAACACCAGGGTGGTATTTTGGACTTTTGCCTTATCTCACAATTAAGTGCTTATTGGAAATTCATAAAAGAAAACAGTTGAAGGGCACATGGAAGTCTTATGATTTTTTTTTTCATTTTGTGCTAATGGTACTTTTTAATGTAATGATTTGAATATACTGCTGATCATGGAACTGGATTTTTAGAAATTACTGAAGATTTTCCTATTCTGGACTATGAAAACCACGGTGTCATTCTATCACATGAGTATCTGTGTAGTTTTTCTTTCTGATCCTCCCCATTCTAGCAGAGATATAGATGAACTGAAACTTTTAGTCTTAACCAATACAGGATAAATTATAACTTTAAACTGGAAACTCTACAAAAAGATATACTCTATAGGTTAAGATTTTCACTTATCAATTGAACATCTGTTCTCAGTTGACATTGATCTCTTATCAGATTGTGAGAACCTTCTATCTTAGTGGCTGGATTAATGGCTAATATTTAGTCAATTTTCTATACACATTTGAAAACAAATGAAGTATATAAAAAAGATTTTTAAAATGAAGGAAAAATATACATCATATTTTGTTTGGTGTATGTTAGACTATTTGTGAATCCCTTTAAGCATATTATCATCTTTATTTTATTCATTTATACAGTAAACCTATGAGGAGGTATGAACATAAATAGAATCAGAGAGCTTTAGTGACTTGTTCAATGTCATTGGGCTGGTAGTCACAGCTAGGAGTTGAGTTGTCTGTATGGTCCCAGGGTCCATGTGCTTAGATTGCCACGGTTGGCTGCCACACAGAAACCTTTACCGCTTTACAATGGTTAAAGAATTTTCTTATCTAACCTTGTATTTTATTATAAAGGAATTTTATTATGCTTCAAAATTGATTCTATTAGGAGCATTTCTTTTAATACAGTAGCCACTATTATGTCTTCTCTTTAAAATTGAGATGGGAGAACACCAACCATTATTGTTGCTATAAAAGTTTTGGCCAATTAAAAGGGATACAAACAAATTTTAATAAATGTAGAAAAATAGGAAATATTATTTGAAATTGTTTGGATACCTAGAAGCATCAAAAGACAAGTAAAACTTAAATGAATCAAATGGTCCAATGCATAATGTACACAACAGCAATACCCATTATTTAATCAATTCAAGAAATATTAATATTACCATGTGCAATGACAATTCTAAATACTAAAAATACAGTGGGGAACAAGAGTGACACAAACTCTGTTCCCACCGAGCTTACACTCTAAAGGAAGGACACAAATGATATGTATTACTATATTTATCTCTTGTGCACGCACACTCAAATACAAATTGTCTAATTGTTCCACGATTTAGCAGCCCTAAGAGGTAGGTTCTATTATTATTCTCATTTTTCAGATGTGGAAATTGAATCAGAGAAGTAAGCAATTTGCCCAGGATCATGACAGAGAAAGGTGGAAACAAAACTCAAATCTAGGCGTGTCATGCTTGTCAGGTTTGATTTGTGATATAAAGAAATAATAAAGCAGAATAAGGGGACAAAGTGTGTCAGGGAAGCTATTTTATTTAAAGTGTTGAACAAAGGCCTCTAGTATGAGATGACATTTAAGAGAGACTTGAATGCAGTTACGATTTAACCATGAAGTTATCTTGGGATAAAAGAATCCCAGGCAGTGGGGATAGTAGGTACAAAAGTCCTGTGGTTGGAGCATGGTTGATGTGTTCTAAGTCTAACAAGGAGGCCTGAGTAAAGTAAGGAGATGAGGTCAGATAGTTATGGGCCATGGTATGGAATCTGTGGGCCACATTTAGACTTAGGAGATTTTGAGGAGAGGATAGGTCTGGTATAATTTAACATTTTAAAATGGCCCATTCTATTATAATAGCTTTATAAAGACCAGACTGTGGACTTGCAAAACTGGAAGCAGAGTTTTTTTCTTTAAGTGGCTTTTAAAATTGTCCAGGAAGAAAAGTGCTTGGACTAGGCTACCACTTGGGTAGAAATGAGTAGATTTTGGATGTATTTTGAAAAAAAGAACCAGTGAGATTTATTGGTTGGCCCTATGGCAAGGAAGTGGCAGGACAGTTCTAAAGATTTTGGCCTGTGTAATTGGATGAATAAAGTTACCATGCACTGAGGAAGAGAATATTGGGGGAAAACCATGTTAGAGGTAAGGAAAATCAGGAATTTTGAAAATTTCAAATGTTAGATGCTTATTAGACATGTACTTGGAGAAGTTGCATACGTAGTTACATATAGGAGTCTAGAAACTGGGGCTAGAGCCAAACATTTAGGAGTCTTCAGATCATGAATTATTTTAAAACTGAGGGCCTGGTTGAGCTCACTTAAGGATGAGTTTAGCAAGAAAAGAGGATTGATTTATCAGGCCTTCTGACCTTTAGAAGTTGGGGCAATGGGGAGAATGAAGCAAAGATCTTGGGGAAAAGCAACTAGTAAAGGAGGAGATTTTAGTGCCTTGTGTTACAAAAATGGAGAACAATGTGTTTTGGTAGAGGGAGTTAACAAATATTATCAAATGCTGCCAGAGAATCAGGATGGAGATTGATGATTGGGTTTGTTGATAAGGAGAGGTGACTAGTGATGCTGACAGGTATTTTGGCACTCTGGTGCCAATGAAAGCCTGTTTGGAATGGATCCAGGAGAGAATGTGAGGAAAAGAGATGGAGAGAGTGGGTATAGTCAACTTCTGAATATTATTTTAAAGTCATTAGTTTAAGGGAGAGGTTTTATCAAAATTACACATATTACACATGTTACATGTTTGTATGCTCATGAGAACGTGCAGAGAGGAAAAAAAAATATTGTAGGAGAAAGAGGATCATTTCCTGTAGTGAGGTTCTGCAGTGAGCAAGAGTAAGGATGTGCATATATTTCAGCTATTGGAACAGGAGGTGAACAGATTATATGAATTCAAATGTGAGTGGGTTGATGATATACACATTCTCTTTGTGTCCATTTTCTATATAAAACAAAACTAAAGAAACATTATTCAGGAAAAGGAAGGAAGATTCTGTGGACTGAATTGTGACCCCACAAAGTTTGTATGTTGAAACCCTAACCTCCAATCTGGTAGTATTTGGAATGGAGACTTTGAGACATCATCAGTGAAGTCATGAGACTGGGGCTCTCACGATGGGATTAGTGCTTTTGTAGGAAGAGACACCAGAGAACTTGCTCTCTCTCCCTGCCATGGGAGGCCACAATGAGAAGGTGGCTGTCCACAAGCCAAAAAGATGGTCCTTACCAAGGAACCAAATCGCTCAGCACCTTGACTTTGGAATCCAAGTCTCCAAAAACATGAGAAAATGAATTTGTTGTTTAAGCCACTCAGTCGTATTTTGTTATGGTAGCCCAAGACTAATACAGAAGAGATGTGTTAGAGATTTCAGGAGAATAGTAAAGCGAATTGACCAGGGAAATAGAACCTTTTGCAGGCAGTACTGAGGGCTTAGTTAGGATTTTTATTCCTAAGTTTAAAGTTGGGCTGTTCAGCATGGTTTCAGGTTTTCTTTTGGCCATATTAAGCTAATTTAACTACAGGGTGAATAGTGCTGGATAACTAGGTTTGAGTTATTGGGATATTATATGATGGAGGGAAAGGGAATGAGGGTGTTTACAACCTTATATTAAGTATATGGTACAGAGATCACATAAAATGGTGGCAATGTACTTAATTATGGATGAGGCATGTATGACCCATTAAAGCATTTTGAGAGATGTGGTGAATTTGTAATGTGTCAACTTGGCTAGGCTGAACTGCATTTCCCAGATTCCCTTTCTTGTCTATTTCCAGTTAGAGTAGGCTACTAGAGACATTTTTATATCTGGGAAGTGGAAGTTGAGCAGGAGCCATGGTGCAGTTCACACACAGTGGGACTGTCTCAAACCTTGGTGTGGAGCAGCAGCTGGGTCTGCAGCTTCACCACCTTTCTCTGGGTCCTCCTCTCACTTCTCCCCATTTTGGCATTTGTGTGTTTAGCTACATGATAAAGGGTGCCAACTTTCTGTGCATGACACTGTTATCCAGGTCACAGGCAGTGAGAATAAACATAGCTTCTATTCTGCCCTCCTGGGTTCCAGCTGGACCTTAATCTCTCCTATGTTACATCTATCTTCTCTGCCCTACTTCCTGCCCCGGGGACTTCAAGCTTCAGGATCAGACAAAAGACAGCAGCCTTACAGACACCACTGAGCCGGCTCCCATGATTGTATTAGAGCCCGTCCTGGTAACAAACCCCTTCTTTTATAGATATTCTGCTTCTCTGATAAAATTCTGTCTGATACCAGAGGTTAGGAGCACTTGTCATCTTGTACACTGAGATCAACTATTGCACAGGTGCCAATTCTCCCTCAAATTACTTATGAATTTAACAGCCCTGATATATTCAGCTGTATAGCTCTTAAATTATTCTTACTGACATTTAAAAAGTTCTATCCGTAAGTTTGCAACAGAGCACAGAAAGCCTCAACACTGAGTCTCTGCAAAGTCCTGATGGGAGAATAGGAATAGAACGTAGAAGAGGTCTGGTTCTGTACCGTGCTTCAAAGCATTATATATTAGTTACATTGTGTGAAAAGTCTATAGGAAGAATCATAAACTAGAATGCA